TTCAGTTTATTTCTATAGCGCCAATTCAGTTTTCTAAGGAAAACCAGTTGATTCCATCGACTCATTTACTCTTCAGCAATCCCTCACACTAAGCATGCTTGTAGCGACAGTGGAGAGGAAAAACTCCCTTTTAATAGGAAGAAACCTCCAGCAGAACCAGACTCAGTGTGAGCGGCCATCTGCTGAGGCCGACTGGGGTTCAATGAGACAGAAGCAGAGATACAAAAAACAACTGTAAAAGGAGGCGGAGTTCAGGAAACAAACAGCCAGGCAGATGAGCTCCGAACCAGCTCCCATGTCAGAGGATGAAGAGAGCACATCCAGTCAGTCACAGTCAGAGAAACAGGACTACACTGAAAAACAGGCCCATCTCCAACATCTATAAATAAAGGTGTTGATGGAGGCAGCGAATGTTTTTTTGCTGATTGTTCAGTTCAGAACTACTAGAACTAAAATTATATTTAGGATAAGGTCTGCTCTGGTAATGGTTGGGTTAATAGTTAGGGTTAGTTATGTTTTAGTAATGGTTAGGTCAATAGTTGGGGTAAGCTCTGCTCTAGTGATTGTTAGGTCAATAGTTATGATTAGCTATGCACTAGTAATGGTTTGGTTAATAGTTAGGGTTAGTTATGCTTTGGTAATGGTTAGGAATAGTTGGGTTTAATTATGCTCCAGTAATGGTTGGGTTAATAGTTAGAGTTAGCTCTGCTCTGGTAATGATTAGGTCAATAGTTGGGGTTAGTTATCTTCTGGTGATAGTTTGGTTAATAGTTAGGGTTAGTTATGCCCTGGTTATGGTTAGGTTAATAGTTAAGAGAGATGCTGGGTAAACTCTGGACAGATCACCAGTCTGTCAAAGGACAACACAGAAGTTGATGTTTGACTTTGTAGTCGTATCTTATGACCTTCGGCCGTATGTCTCAGACCCTCTCAGGAACAGAGGGGTGTAGCTGTTTACAGATCACCACCTGGTGGTGAGCTGGATACACTGTTAGAGTGGGAAGCCAGACAGACAAGACAAGTAGAGAGGGTCTGCTGGGAACATTTGGTAGAGCCGTCAGTTAGGAAATTGTTATACCCCCACCTATATGAGAGCTTCTACCAGATTCCAGATGAGGTTGAGGACATTGAGTGGACCATCTTATCTGCCTCCAAGGAATACTTTGAGGATCTCCTCAATCTGGCTGACACTCTTTCCAAGGTGTAAGAAGAGACTGTGTGAACTGGGAGCCGTTTATATCCAGGCTGAAGTCCCTGAGGAGGTCAACAAAACTCCACAAGGGCAGAGGGGTGGATGGGAGCCGCCCTGAGTACCTTAGATCTCTGGACGTTGTTGGACAGTTTTGGCTGACATGCGTCTTCAACATCGCATGGAGATTGGCTACGATGACCCTGGACTCATGCAGCCAAAAGCCTGAGGGGTCTGGTTTGAGGACCAGGGGATTTTGCCCTCCTTTTTGTACATTACATGGTTTTGGGGGAGAATGGAGAGGGAGATCAGTAAACGGACCAGTTTGGGTGCTGCTGTAATCCAGAAGCTGCACTGGTCTGTTGTGGGGAAGAGAGACCTCTGGATTTGTAAAAGAAATTATTTTTAGGCCTTTTTTTTTGTAGGTAGACAGGAAATGAAGGTAGAGAAAGTGAGAAGACATGCAGCAAAGGTCACCAGGCTGGGAGAGGACCAAATTCTCTGTACATGAGTCGTACCACAGCTATGATTTAGCGGTCGGTCTTATCCTACCCTCACCTATGGTCATTAATCTGGATCTCGACCCAAAGAACCAGATCCTGGATCCAAGCAGCTGAAATGAGAATCCTCTGCATGGTGGCTGGGCTCCCCCTTACAGAGAGGATGAGGAGCTCGGCCATCAGGGAGAGGCTCAGAGTAGAGCCGATCTCCACATTCAGAGGAGTCAGCTGAGGAGTTTAAGACATCTTTATCAGTCACCTCCTGGACACCTCGCTCTGAGGGGTTCCAGACATGTCCCACTAGGACGAGGACCAGGGGACGACCTTGGACCCAAGTCCTCAACTTCTAATAAACAGGCCTGTATTGTGAAGTGAGTTCCAGCAGATTTAAAGTTCTGTGCAGAAGGACGGATCTCCTTGTAGGTTTCATCATCATCATTGTGGAAAGATGAAGACTTATTCATTCCTGGGAAGCCAGTGGGAGTTCAGCCTTTTCATTATTGCTTAGTTTTTGTTCCACAGCGTTCAGTTATTCAGGTTTTTTTCTATCATTAGCTATAAACCTTGGCTTGTAAGCCGAGAGGCTAAGGCCACTTAGTGCTTGTCAGAATATCACCTGCAGCTTGTAATGAAATGTTTTTGTTGCCTCAGGGCTTAGAGTTCAGCAGGCAGAACTACTCACACAGTTAGAGCCAAAAACAGCTCTGGGCTGAGTTCCTCTACATCTGAAAAGCAGAGTTAAAGGTAATACATCCAAAAAAAATCTAACCTCTGACACAACTCCATTAGGCAAAGAGAACAGATGACACGAGGAAACATTCGGGCTGTTTTATTGGTTTTCATCTCTTTGGTTCGTGTTGTTAGGCTGGCTCGCATTCAGATCTCCTTTCCTGCCACAGATAAATGCTGGTTCTGTTCCGCTGACTGCTGGTTCCGTTCAGCGGGGGACCTGTGGCTGATAAAAGCGGAGCTTGGACAGGCAGCAGGTTTGGGGTCACTGTCATGTCAGGTGGACTGTTTCATCAATGTGATGTGGGAGATGGTTTTAAAAACATCAGTTGTGTGAAGCAGAGGAGCCAAGCTGCTGCTGTTGGATCTATTCATCCTAACTCTGCCCGGATCTTCTAGAGTCTATATTCAGAGTTCAAACTTCAGAAATACTTTAAATATGAAATTATTACAAACTGTTCAATAAGTGATAAGTGTTTTTAATGACGAGTAATTTTCATTTGAATGTGCTTTACTGGAGGCTTCCATGTTTGTCAAAGAACACTACTGCCACCTACTGGTTTGTGACGTCACGGTGCGGTATCGGCTGTTGATCAAGTCCAAGTGCTGTATCTGGTGTTTGTAACAACGCGCTATTATCCAAGTCATCTTGGAAACATTCTTCTTCCAAATGTTGGCTACATATTACAGTGTTTTCGTCCGTGGAGGATCAGGAATCAGAAAGGTGAAATAATTCTTTTTTTTTTTTTCACTTTTATCCGATGTATTCCAGCATGCAGCTGCCATGCACGTGGGCATTGTCAGTTTCACTATAGCTCTGGTGAATATCAATGGTGAAGTCCTCTGGAAATCTTCAATAATTGTTGTTGATTGCAGATGTGTCTAGTAGTTCCCATTGATTCAGCTTGTAAAGCGGGGAGAATGGCGCTAGGCTTACCGCACCGTGACGTCACTGCTGGAAGATGGCAGGAAGGAGGGGTTACTATATTTGGAGAAAAATGGCCGCTCCCGGACTCTGGGATCGCAATGAAAATCATTACTTTTATTTTTTTATTGATTAACACTAAATTCATTAAATCACTGCAAACGTATTAGTTTTTTGTATAAATAATGATCCATTGATTATTCCTTGCTGACCGAACCTTTCCTTTAATTTGTTTTAATTTCCCCTCATTTACTCTTTTTGTTCACTTTAATTTATTTAGTTTGTATTCGTTTTATATGTTGTAGGTCTAACAGAGGAATTTTTTTTGGTCATTAAACTATGTATTAATAAATAAATCTGTTAGCAGCTCCTGTTCAGAAACTGAGGACATCCTCATCAGGGCTTTAAAACAGCGAATTCGATTTTTTTTTTTCTTTTTTAAATGTGTTTTTATTTATTGTGGAATTTCCCATCTTGCTTTATTCACCTATTTATTCATTTTCTTAACAATCTATTCATTTTTACATATGTCTTTTTTTTCTTTAGATTTTTTTCTGCTTCCATATTTGTCTAACATTTTATTATTAACTAAATACCTGCCTGCCCTTTAGGACACTAGTTTTCCCACCTTCTTTTCTCCCTCCTATATAAAAATTCAATTTAATGTATTTCTATAGCGTGAATTCACAATGTCAGCACATGTGATGTAAAGGCACTTTACAATTCAACCAGATCATCCAGTCAGATTGATTTAAAGTTTTCTATCTAAGGAAAACCAGTTGATTGCATCGACTCATTGACTCAAAGGCAATCCCTCACACTAAGCATGCTTGTAGCGACAGTGGAGAGGAAAAACTTCCTTTGAACAGGAAGAAACCTCCAGCAGAACAAGAAGCAGGGATACAAAAGCCAACTGTAAAAGGCAGCCCTGTCCAGGAAACACAGCCAGGCAGACGAGCTCCGAGCCAACTTCCATGTCAGAGGATGAAGAGAGCACATCCAGCCAGTCACAGTCAGAGGTCTACACTGGAAAACAGGCCGATCTCGAACATCTATAAACAAAGGTGTTGATGGCAGCAGCATAGCTGATAATTCTTTCCAGGATGGAGTCACAGCCAAACAGGAACAGACCAGATGAAGCTACTATGAGAAAAGCAGATAGAGTATAATGTTAGAGATTAAACTAACAGATTCTGCAGAGTGGGAGAAAAGAGACAGAATGAAGCGGAATGATGAAATGGGCTCCCTATGTCCTCCAGCAGTCTAAGGCTTTAGCAGCACTAATGCAGAAAATAGCTCAGGATAACCTTAGTTTTTTGAATGAGGTATAAGAAAAGTAAAGCCACCATGTGGCGAAGATGGAGCCAAGGAGAAACATCTATCTGGATAGAAACTCTCCCAGCCGGAGAGGGCTGCTAACGCTCTACCTCCACCTACCTCTCTTCTTACCGAGCGACTAAGCACACATCACTCTGTTTAACTATAAGCTTTATCAAAAAGGAACGTTTTAAGCATAGCCTTAAAAGTAGAGAGGGTGTCTGCCTCACGGACTAAAACTGGTAGTTGGTTCCACAGGAGAGGAGCCTGATAACTAAAAGATCTAATGTTTAAACACTAATGATTAAAGGCGTATGTGTTTTTTTTTTTTTTATCTAACTGCAGCTTACAGCAGTTCAGAGGTCTGATTAGACATTTTTAACATAGATGTCGTCATGGAAACGTATCTTCTCAATATTGTTGCTTCTTCGGGTGTATAAACAGGTGTTAATGTTCATGTAAGGTAACTAGGATAAAAAAAAAGGCAGCTTTTAAATTATGAATCAGGGGTTGGAGTTTGGTCTGGTTTCCTGGGAGGGTTCCCACTGTGGAAGGTTCCCACTGTGGAAGGTTCCCGCTGTGGAAGGTTCCCACTGTGGAAGGTTCCCACTGTGGCTCTCAGGGCTCCTGAAGCCTTAGAAATGTCTCCTTCTTCATTGGTTCTTTTTCTTTGAGTTCTTTCAGCAGTTTTGGATCCATTTTTTCTTCTTTAACAAACTTTCATACTTTTGTCTCCTGCTGTTTGCATCCTTCATTCATTTTAGTTTAGTTTTTCAAAGTGAATAAAGCTGAAGTCAAACCAACGGTGATTGAAAGCTGCTGGATGGAGGCTCCTCCCTCCATTAATCGATGTGAGAACGAAGCATCCATTGAAGCCTGAATGGATCCGCTGTGTGTGTGTGCAGGTGTACCAGGTGTACGCGCGGCGGTCTCCAGAGGAGGTGTATGGTATCCTGAGGGCGGCGGGCGCCGACTACGTGGTTCTGGAGAACAGCATCTGCTACGAGCGGAGGCACCAGAGAGGCTGCAGACTGCGGGACCTGCTGGACCTGTCCAACGGACACGTGGGTGGTGCTTCATGTCTCCTAGCTGGAATCCCTCAGCCTCCGCAGAGAGATCAATAGTCTCACCTCTTATCAGCGCGGCGCCGCTTCTCTCTTTGCTGCTGTCACTCTGCACACACACACCCCTGGGCCCTGTGGATTAGCAGGCTGGGTCCGTCCCAGGCGCGCCTCGGAGGTGGTGTGTGCGTTTGAGACGCTGTAAATGTCAGCCGGTGAACACGCCACCTGACATGCAGACAGCTTTATTGAAGCAGCGCTCAGGAGATGTCTCTGTCTGTCTGAACATCTCAGTCTGGCTCTAATTTCTCTGTCAGCCGTTGTTTTCTTCTCACCACCTGCAGACGGCCATGAACCAGAGGAACATGAGGGGAATATTGGTTCCTGGAGGCTGCATCAGTTTGGTCAGCGGTCTGCAACCTGTGGCTCTTCAGAACTTCCAGAGTAGCTCTTTATAACTGCTGCTAAAATGATACAGAACCAGGGGGGAGTTTCTTCCAGACCAGTGGAAGAAGATGGAAGAAAGTCCTGCTATTTAGGAGTACTGGGATAGATTCACAAGTCAACTCACCAAATCCACCATGGCTACATGAGGAGAAATCGTTATGAGAAAAAACACAGTAACATTAATTTATATCATTTATTAAGTGGATATAATACAAATGTTTATGAATGAAAAAATGTTGGTCACATGGTAGGAAAACGCTCTCTTGTTTACTCAGATCAACCAGCTGGCTTTTTATAGATATTGAACCCCCACCTCCAGGTTATTACTGAATCTGGGCCTGCTGAAGGCTTAATATTCACTAAAAGAAACAAAACTTTCCAATAAATTGATGATCCAAGTTTCTTCTGGAAGAAATTCCAAAAAAAGTAATAAGAAAAACAATCTACTAGACTTTGTTTCCAAGTTTGAAGATGTTTCACTTACCATCCAAGAAGGTTTTTAAATTCAAAATGTCTTCAGCAGCACTAGGCTAGCAGCGCGCTAAAACCACGGTATGAAACATCATATGGGCTCAGATTCATAAATATTCAAGTGAAATTTGCCATTCGGCATCTCTTAATTCTTCATTAGCACTTTAATTTTGCACATTTTTCACTTTTTTAATCGTGGATGCAAGCGGTGTATAGAAGAAAAACTGTTTCATTGGAATCTGCCGTTTTGTACACACAATTTTAAACACAGAATATTTTTAACACAGCATATTTATCACTGATTTTTTTTAGATGGAATTTTAACACATTTTTTTTTATACATTGAATTCCTTACAATAAATTTTTATCTGGTAAAAATTTTCACCTGCAAAAAATTCAGCTTAAAAAATTTGCCTGCAAAAAAATCAGCTACAAAAAAATTCAGCTGCAAATGTGTTGACCTTTTGGTGAAACCAAACCAAAGCAATCGAAACTCGATGCAGATGAGCAGCTCCTACCGAACTCCTAGGCAGTTATTTTGCTGCTGAATTTTTTGCAGGGGAATTTTCACCAGATTCAGTGTAACAAATTCAATGTGTAAAGAAATTCAGTGTTTAAAATTTGGAGTACAAAAAAAGTCAGATTCCAATGAGACTGTTTTTCTTCCATAGTGGCGTCTGTTTCCAGATCCCCATAAATCCCACAATGCAGTGAGGTTGTTGCATCATGTTCATCACCAAGCTCTGCTCAGGCCTTCCTCAGAATAAGGATGCTTGTTCTGGAAGAAACAGTTTCTAAGAGCCAAAAAAAAAACATGGAAAAATCCTGGAAAAAAAGGGAAATAAAAGGGAATTGTTGGCCTGGCTGAATAGTCTTCTGTTCCCCTTTATAGGGGTTGAGGTATAAATTTGTTGACCCCTTCCCGCGATCATCGCAACCCCAACCCCTTTACAGGAGAAAAGAAGACTTCGCCTGTTCAGCCAGGCCAACAATTCCCTTTAACGACCCCATTTCAGAGACATAGACAGGTATGGGGCATTGCAGGCTAACAAAAGTCGCCAAACGACACCCATTCCAATTGGGCGGACCTGTTTGTCCAGTTCTATTTGCATGTTTTCTAAACAGAACAAGACTTTGTTGGGCTACTGTATAAAGCCTCAAACTCAATGCTTTTTCTGACATTTTGAATTGAAAAAGCTTCCTGGATGGGAAGCAAAACGTCTTCAAACTTAGAAACAAAGAGGATTGTTTTTTTATTTTAATTTTTTTACTTTTTTGGATTACCTGAACAACATAATGTTGTCAAATATAAATAAAGGCTTCGGAGAATCGACTGTTGCTGATTTGTAGACTTCTTCAAGGGTAGATAAGATCAGCTTTACGTCTAATTGTCGGTTTATCACCGACCGCCTTAAATGAAGTGAACCAGAGCCAATGGAAAGCCAATGAAGTCATTAAAGCCGTAATGCAGCTCCTGCTAACTCCTGGGCTAATGTATCAGCCTAAAAATGGCCTCTCTGCTTTCCAATATAGAACATCAACACATAGACTTTGTGTGTAAACTCGAAGTTTATTCAGAGTGGCTCATATTGATGCCATGCTATAACTAATTGCCAGTGTTTGGATCAGAACCTTTCATTAGAAATTGAAATCTTTGTTTCCGACACATTTTCTGGACCCCCGAACATATAATCTCTGTGTGCAGATTTAGCTTTCTGAAGCTAACTGTTCCTCCTCAGATGAAAGGGTCCTTTTCTCTGTTATCGCAGCAGAAAGTTTGCCCGCTTTGCTCCATTTCTTTCCTAAACGTTGGAAGAATACATATTACTCGCTGCCATTTTGTTGTATTTCATGTAAACCTGCTTCCTTCCTCTGCAGATCATGGACGGACCAGGCGAGAACGATCCGGACCTCGTCCCTGCCTCCCACCCTCGATTCTGTGATGCCATCAAGACGGACGCGGCGGCGTACACGGCCCTGTTCACCAGAACCTTTCAGAATAAGACCTTCTATGTGTACCGCCTGAAAAAGAAGCGCAAGAACAGTGCCAAAACCTCCTCTGACCCGGTGTGAGGGGTCAGCAGGACCAGAACCAAGGCCAGCAGAGTCGGGCTGTTCAGAGCTCTGCTCACGGCTTTCATCTGGATGTTGTATTCTTCTCTGAACTGTGGCGTTGAACTGTGGCTCAGTGCTGGAGCTGCAAACGCTGCATTTGCTGCTGAGATCATCTTTGTCCAGGAAAATAACCAGCTTCTCTATGAACACCCGGTTCCTTCAAGGCCAAAACTACAATGATTGAAGATGCATAGTGTTGAGGAAATATGAAGTAGAGTTTCTATTCGCTAGTTTTGTAGTAATATGTTACTTAAAGCTGCATTTTCAGAAATTAGATAAGAAGAAATGTCTTTATTGTTTTGCAAAGAATTTCTGTGGTATTTTCATTGAAACTGTTTTCCATGAAGAGCTAAATCATTCCAGGCCTTGGTTTGCCAGCCGGTGATATCAGCCATGTCTCCTGCAGGGGGCAGCAGACTGTGTGCAGGTTTTTTTTTTTGGTTTAGTGCTCGTCTAAATGATCAGTCCTTGTTTACAGCTAATAAAAACCAACCCATCATACTGTGCTGTGTTTTTGTTATTTCCACTCAAGCTTTTCTTCATTTTAAATCTGCAAACATAATTTATAAAAAGCGTAGAACTAACAACACTAGATCTGTCGGAGCTGTTTGAGGCTCTGAAGCTCTATTACATTCACCAGAAACTGCAGCTTTAGACAACATCTGAAAGTCTGTTAGCTGCTAAGCTAACTGCGGTAATGCTAACTAGCCTTACTGTCCTCTAAACCCGGGTGTACACTGTACGATTTTTTGCCCTTTTCGGGCAGATTCTCAAGTCATGCACAATTTTTTTGATCAGGACATTTAAATATGATTTCCCTAAGACTTTAAAGGCTGCATCCTCCAAGGGTCCGGTCTATCTGGACCGGATCCTTAGAGTTCTGTGAAATTAAGGAGACTGGAAGAGTTTTGGCTGTAGATTCAAACAGGTCCAGCCTCCTGCGGCTTTCATTGCCAGTACACTGTCGCCTAGCAACAGTGAGAGTTGAAACACAAAGCAGGAAAAGAGTAAATACTGAACTTCTTAGTACTGTTTCTTTTTATTTTTTATAGTAAAGTAAACAAAGATAAAAGTCATGAGAATACAGCATGGAAAAAAGGTGAAAACCACCGGGAGCATGAACAAATAAAAGCAAATGTAATGGTATAAAAGGGGTAGACAGATATAAATAATATATGTATAAAAAATACATCTACAAGATCTCGTATAATCAACACAAAAAAAAAAAAAAACTTGTTCAATCAGATCAGACTCAGAAATACTTTATTAATCCCAGAGGGAAATTACTCCAGATACAGTTTTATATATATATCTACACAACATACCACACAATATTATAAAGATATAAATATATACACATATAACTCTTCTGTATATACATATATATGTATATATATGCATAGGTATAACTAAATCCAAGTAAAGTGATAGTGAAATGCAAAAAAATAAAAGAAAAGCTATTCAACAGTAAATTAGATCATGAAAACAGATATAAACAGTGAGGAGGAATAATCACTACACTGAAAAAGATAAAGAATATAAGACGTCAGGGTAATTAAGAATAACATTCAGACAGAAAAGCATTGAGTCTTTTAGCATTGGTGGTAGACAATTTTTTAAAGAACAAAGTAAATATATTTATTTAATTTTTTAAATTGTAGAGAGAGTTTTGGTAAGACGAGATTTGTGTCTGAAACATTTGACCATAATAATTATATTATTAATTATAAACTCTCTTTTTTTCTATCTTATATATGTTAAATTTTATTATGGAGGAGGAGAGAAAATCTATGTTTAAAGATTCAGAGAGTAACCAGTTATGAACTAAGGATAAAAATGTTTGGATTTTACTACAATAAAAAACAAACAAAAAAAAACTACTTTTGTCTACAGTGAATTTAGATTTGGATCAATGAATTGGCTGAAAGGATAAATGTATTTAAAGTTTTTAAATAAATCTCTTTATATTTTGGCGGAATAGAAAATGTAAGATATTTGGTTCTCTATTCATGTATATCATTTTTGGAATATTCTTTTAAAAGTCTTTTAATTGGATTCGGATATAAGATATTTTTTGCATTTTTTTTTCTATTATATTGATTCCTTCAATAAATGTATTTTTAAGTTTAGGAAATGGAAAATTACTGAGGCAACCTTGAACTAAATGGATAAATGTTTTGGGGATATGATTTATAATTTCTCCATATTCCTGGGATGAGATTTGGACATTATATTTATTATTTCAATCATCCAGTAACAATAACTCTCCATCACTGCTGTTCTGGGCATTAATAGCATTTTTAAGGAGCTTCAACAGCAGAACCATATCAGATTAATAGTCCCTCTACAGAGATAGAATCTGAGCTTAAATGTCAGCCAGACCAATTTACACAGGGACAAATAAAACCTTTCAACAAACCAAACATTACCGCCACATATAGTAATTGAACTTTATTGATCACACATTGGGGAAATTTTACATCTGCATTTTACAAATCCCCTTGGGGAGTGGTGGGCTGCCATTGTGCAGTGTCCAGGGAGCAGTATGGGCTATATATATATACAAAAAAGACAGATTCCACCTCTTCCATAGCGGTGTCACTTTTTCCAGATCCCCATAAAATCCACAAAACAACGCGGGTTTTTTATTTTCTTTTCTTCTCTTCTCTCTCCCCCCTCCCCCCAACA